TGTTAAGGATGCCAAAACAATCCGCTGAATCGGGGTTATTTGCGCAAGGGGGTTCAAATAGGCAGTATTCACGGAATTGACATTTTAAAACATTTCTGGTTGTCATCGAACTTCCAAATTTTTATTTGAAGAACCGGAATGACATGTGTCGAACATGGCGCACTACCCTGAGTAAAACTCTAATGTTCTAATTTCATTCTAACACTCCCTGACACGTGTAGTATGGTATCTGCAGGTGCATAAGTCATCGTATGGGCTTGCCTTCATGATTCCGTCACTTTTAGGCCTACATTAAATCAGTGGAAAAAATATGAAAAGGACGAGCAGGAAGTATTAAAACTGGACATTTTTGACATCACTGGATAATTAAGTAAATTTAGGTTGACAACTGAATAGCATGACCAACCAAGCACAACTTTTAGCTCAGTACGCGGTAGAAATTACTCAAACAGTAAATGAAGAAGCGAGTTTTCAATAATTTTTAATTACAAGCTATCTTACTTTGGAAACGGTCTCCCTGTTGTAACTTTAACATAAGATGTTCGGATCCTTTCTTTTCCGTCTCGGCGTCACCGTTTCAATTGGTATGCGTCTCGAAGGCGTGTCCAAATACCTCGACTTGCCCAAATTCGAACACTCTCCCCTACATTGAAGTAAACTTGGGGAAATCAAGTAAGGAAGGAGAATTGATTGTGGGAGCTGAATTTTGAGGAGAAAAGAAGCGTAAATGGAGGAGAGACGAGGATGACGAATCGCGACGCGATGAACTCGCAACCAGACTTGAAACCGGAAGGGACCGGACACGGATGTGGCACCGCGCTTCACTTCCGATTAAACTCGAAACTCAAGGAAGGGAAATCGGGCACTTTCCATGAAGGAACCCCGTCCCCGATGCGAGGCGGAATGGAAATCGGATGAGAACATAATTTCCCTCGGGTATGTTTGAGGAAGAAGGAGTCGACGACGAGCATGGGAGAGGGGCTGACATCTCCGGCAACCCTGTCAATCAGCAGACCAAATATTGTCCCGTGTCTCCGGTAACGACCGCATATTATATGTCCAGCTCTCTGGCTTTTCCCTTCCATCCTAGATGAAATCCCAGGTTTTTACGGCATGTGACGTCATCCTGACCCAGCCTGGGCAGGAGATAGCAAATCCAAATCACAACTTGGACATGTCATGTAACGTGAGACCCTAAGCAGTGTTTTAACAAGCATGGCGTCCACGGTGAGAAAAACTAAATATAGGCTGTGCGCGCGCCCGTGTGTATGTGAGTGTGCGTGAGCAAGGAGCTCAAAGAGCACAGCGCGACAATAGGAGGCGTACAATGGGTTATAAATGCTGACATTCGTGCAGTTCAATCCAAAAAGACGTGGGTCGGGAGGTCCAAATTCATTATTTCATTATATTTCTCCATCCAGTCCCACGCATTGAAATGTGTCAGCATGAAGGATTTTTCGCGTAGGAAGGGCGGACCATAGAAGGAAGAGCTTAGAGCCGAGTCCTGTTGAGTTTGGGTCTCGAGTGCGGTTCCCCGGCTTTAGGCAGGGGAGCAGACGACCGGAGTGACGTCAAGTGGCAGACGACATCGATGACGTCACATGGCCTTGACTCCCCTCCTCCCCCCCATTGTTTTTAATCTGCATGGATGAACATGGATCCCATTCACGAACGGATCCCTACACACATGCAGATAACCCTATATGTTCCACGGTAACCTTTGCACCGTCTGACACATGTTTATGTTCGTAATTGATTGTATTTATAAAGGGCGGAGCCGTGGATGGATTCCGTGATGATCGATCGATCCAATGACCTCAGCATCCATCCGTTACTCTCGGGCATGTTCCATGACGAATGACTCGATGTAACAACTGAAACAATCCATCATGACGAACGACTCAAATGATCTAAGGAAGCGCTATGCTTAAAACAGAAATTGTCAATGCGGCACCGCGCCATACTTTTTTTCGAACGCGATAAGCAGATAAGAGGAAGAGAACGCCTAGAACTTCAAATACCTACCTCGATGATTAGTGTATTGTATCGATGTTAATGAACACCCCGGGAATCGATAGCCATTAAAGGATCGAATTTCTCTCAGGCAGGAACAGGAAAGATCGACTTTCGACCGTGGAGAAACGGAAGCTAGAAATTGATAAAATTTTCTTTCGGGGTGAGGGATTGAAATCGCCGAGAGCATGCAAAGGCAGAAGGAAAGAAGAGAAAATGCGAACAGATGTCACCGGCACGCCCCCATCCACGCGAAGGCACGCACAAGCATAGGCCTATAGGAATCCTTCTCGAACATCATTCACGAAACGGAGTCGTCTTACGGTTTCTTTGAAGATTTCCCTTGGCGTCTTGGGGAACGTTTCGTCGTCCACCTCGCCGTTCACGGCGAACATCACACGTTTCGCGGCCATTGCCTGTCTCACGCCCTCCTCGCGTTTCACGCACACTGCACGCACTCAACGAAGGACTGGGCCAGCAGATGCATCCCCGTCATGCCCCAGGCACACTCCATGACGCAACCTCTCTCTCTCTCTTTTTTTCCTTTCTTTCCTATAACCGACGCGGATGGACGAGGACGATTCGCACCATTCCAAGCCTCCTAGAAGCCCTTTCACATGGAAATTTGTTGAGACGATGTCTCAAGTTGGACTCCATCCAATCTGCATCGTCCACTCCCCCTCCTTCTCGGGGGTCACCCGGATGTATATATAAACAAGTTCGGGACAAAGCCCTTCTTCTTCTTCGCCCCTCTTTTCCATTTGACGCGCTCGGAAAGAATAGTTGCTCTGTTCACCGATCGGAATGTTCTATACACACAATGGAATATAATTATATTAAAATATAAAAAAATATTTAACTATGACATTCGGTACCTTTTTCTCGGCTCATGACTAGTTAGCCACTCCCAATTTTTCTGTTGAATTTTCGTGTTCTAACGCGATTAGGATTGACTGACTGTTTTGTATCTGAGGTTTCGCTTCGGGCGAGTTCTGAGGGGAAAAGATGAGTTGCGTGGAGGGACAGTTTGACATTTGACGAATGTTAGGGACGCTCATCATGCACGGCACGTCCCCCTGCAAATCGGCCTTGGCCTTCCCTTCTCGAGTCCTGACCACCCGAATAACGAAATCTCCTTTTATTGTCCTCTGTAGAGAAATTAACAGAACTATTTAGTAGCTGATATATAACAGAGATGTAGCCATATGCCATTTGAAAATAAAACAAGCGTCTGCCATCTTGGAAAACTAAGTGGAGGTTCTACTTCCACCTCTCAACGTTAGATGGAGGTACCGCACGGAGACGAGGAGCACGATACGATTTCTTCTGCTTCCCATTATTGCAGAATTATCGTGCCAACTCGATAGAGCTGCTATGGATGCTACAGAGTAGGTAAAAAAATATATAGCGTAGCGCTTCCATCATTCATTCACAAGGAGAGAGTGCTATAACCAATTAACGATGCGAAAAATGTCAGTCGGTTGAATACAAGTTGAGGATGGCCTTCACTGTTCTTACAACTGGGAAACGTAGCTGCCACCAGCCTAGTCTAAAAATCGTTAGGAGATACTATTTCACAATGATCGCTTGAGAATCTCTCAGATCCTGGAAGATGGTGGTCTTATGATTTCTTTTCCTAAGAGCTCTTGCGAAATTTTGCAAAGTCTCAAAAAAGGACATCAGATTTGCTCCTTGGCCACAATTCTTGGTCTCTCAAGATGGGTATCTCTGACGATTCATTCGTCTTCTGCCAGGATGGCGAGAGGCTTCGTAGATGAGATGAGAAGCTATTCACAGGGTGCATTAACGCTAGATGGCGCATTTTAAGCATGGCGCCACCCATGACTGGGAAGGGGGGGAGAGAAGGAGAATGGGACAAGCCATGTCTTCACAGGATTGCACAAACCTTCATTAGGGACTTCTCCCATTTTCTTCGCAAAATTTCAGAGCCATGACACAGATAAAAGGGGAGCTTCTAGCCGAAGCAAAACATGTTATAAATGTGACAGAGGTCAGGGGTGGGCAAAAAAACGTAGTTCAATCCTGAATCAAACTTCTTCCTTCAAAGGAGGTGCAGGTTTTCCTCACACCCAGTCACCAATTCAAAGGTTTCCATGGAATCATGTGTCTTAGTAATGCACAAGCACATGATATGAGTGGAATACTATTAGGCCTAATATATTCTAGTAGAATTCATTACAACAGGAAACTGCTTGATACTCGAAGTTTTGACTCACATTGCCTCTGCATTCTCTTAGTGCTGCTAGCTTTTTTTTAAATTATTAAATGTGCTTTATGGGCTGAGTCATAAGCCATGACAGAAACCCTTATTGGACCAGTACCTCATGATAAAACTTATCGTATCATGGGTTTATGTTGGCTATTTATCCTGTGACAGCAAATGCCAAGTTTGATATTCATAGGCCCATGGAAAGCGAAGGCCTAAACTGAAAGTAGCATGATGACAGGCCTTTCAGGCCGTCTGGAGGCTCCAAGTAGAAACTTCACACAATCGATTACTTACTACATAATCATTCTTGGTCTGAGAAAATTCCTCTGGCAGAGAAAAATAAGCATTTTCATAGTAAAAACAGTATCTATCTGCATGTTTCCATGAGAACAGCATTGAAACTTGCGCACTCGACTCCCTCCAGCTCATTTTTATGCTCCCGCTGCCAGATGTCTCCAACTTAATGCACCAGAGAAAAAAAAAGTGCATAAAGTTGGAGGTGCAAAATCCAACAGTGAATTTATGGTCACCCTGTGTTTTCCTGCCTCCTCCCTCATTCGTGTTCTTTTCTGTACCCTTGAAATTTTGGGTTTGGAGGGCATGAATAAGTAAATACAATGAAAGGTCGAAATTCAGATGAACCAATTAGCATGTGTGAGACAGTCTAAGCGACTTCTGAAATGTTTACAGAAAGCAAGCTCGCAATCCCCTCGGAGAAGAAGAAATGGAAAGAATGAGTTGAATGATGAAAACAGAGTTTGTTGGAAACATTCATGTTTATTCCAAGTGAAGATTGCACGATCCGGCGACCTCGCAGAGACCCTCACTTTTTAAAATGACGTCTCGCTTAAGGAAGGAGAACATTTACATCCAGAAAGTTTTAAACTGGTAAAAGTCGAAGGAGAGACTAAAAGCTAAAGAACTCTCTACTGATTTCAGCACCATCGCATCTCACGTCCTTCATTCAACAACGATGATGCGAAAGTAATTAAATTACGACCTATGATACGATCGGGAGAGGTGCGAAGAAGTAGAGCCAAAAAGCAGGAAAGCAGAACGACAAATGCAATATCGTGTGAAGACGCTGGTGCAGTCCCTTTCGACTTTGAAAGGAGCATAAATAAATAACGTACACCTACGATAGCATAAAATGGAATTATTTTCCTTTCCCATTTCACAGTCCAGCGGAGCTCGACGAAGCCAAGTTCCCCATCACAGTAACATATCCAACGCGGCGAAGAAGCGACGCAAATAATCTCAACATCGATCCTTACCGACGCGCATGCACGATACATTTATTACATATAGGAGAAGTGAGAAGAGGACTAAGTGACTAGACGAAGAGGGATTCCACGGATCCAGGAATACTGGCTTCCGTCGGAAGAGGAAAAGCGAGTCTTTGGTTTAAAGCTGCCCCAAATCGACACGAGTTTTCTCGTGCAAACACCATTGAATCACACGAAAATAATTTCGAAAACGTGCAAATCTAATGCAACGAATTTACGAAGACTTCCATCGCGAACGATGGGTCAGACACGCCACAAGACAGACGAGTAAAAATAAAGGAGTGAAAATTTCTAGTCGAAGCGCCATCTTGTGCTGAAGCATTACAAAATTGTAACATTCGGTGGGTGGAATCGTCCGAGGTCATCCACGAAACTGCTCTCGTGACCGGTGCAAATTAACGAAATACATCGAGATACATCGAGCAAAGTAGAGCCCGACAAAATGAGAGATCTGACATCCGGAGATCCGGTGACGTACATTAACGCATATCACATATAGAAGAATAGAGATCCTTTTCTTCCTTTCTGTACAGGAATTTGACTAGAGTTTCACTCATCCACTTTCCCTCGACTGAGGTTCATACGTGAAATGACTATAGAGCGCGCGGCGGCGGAAAATTCGCGTGCCGACGACGCTTCGACGGGAGGAAGAAAAAGAAATTACAAGATGGGTCTACGAACGAGAGGGACTTGGGGATTGATTTCAGGTTGGGAGCTGAGGAGCTTGGCCAGAAAGTACACGTCCTCCTCTCCATCCTATACAAACAAAACATGTTTCACTTCAACTCTTTTTTTTTTCCACCATCGCGAGTTATATAAAATAATTCAATTTTCATCGGTTTGTTTGTTATTCCAATTTGCATCCAGATATGAAAAAATGTCAGGGTATAGTTTAAGTTTTAAGTTTGGATGAAAATGTCCACTTTGAGTTTCGATTAGCGTTTGACCTTAATTGTCGCACAATCAAAACTTAACTTATATGTTGGACAAATACCTTGGATTAGATTTTCAATTCCAACTACGCGAAGCGGGATTGAAACTGATGAAGTAAAATCTTCGGGATTCTGGAATTTAGCAATTTCAAACGAAAACTAAGAAGAAAATTTGACAGTTTTGGTACTAGTCATGTTTTGAACGGATTAAATGACAATGTGAAACTGTGGAAAGAAGATAATGTTACCTGAAGTCTCTTGTGGGGTCGGCGAGGGTGGAGCATGCGATCGCGTTCCCTGAACACGCTTTTCCTCTTCTCGGCGTGAGATGGAGAGAGTTTTTCATCCTCGAACTGATAATAGGGATATTCCAAGCCTTTCACCCCTTCACTCAGATAGTTCTCTGCCACTCCTTCTGTGCAATTCAATAGAGAACGTAACATGAAGAACAGACCCAGGACACAATACAGTATGTTAATGTCATTGGTCACAGGGATATGGTAACTCTAGCTAGCCCAGAAACTTATTGAACGACGTATTTGATATCGGGTCAAATTGCATGCATGCATGCAGCTCTATTTCATTGGCTCTTGTGAGAATCTTCTTAACTTAGTTCATGCTATTCCCGAAGAATCCCATGTGAAAACTGACATTCAATTCGATTCTATTTCATTTCATTATACCTCTTTCATCCCTTTATTTGCAAGATCACCAGAGTTACTTCCAGCTTCGACTAAACAATGAAGGACAATTTTGACCATATTTCGAAAAATATGTTCAGATCTTATTTGAATGCATTCTCTAAAAAATTCAATATGCTTGAATCTTCAAAAATTTCATAAGTCATGGAGCACCTCTGTCACTGGTTATTTTGAAAAAAGATCACTCATTATAGCCTCATCTTCGGCAGCAGAACCAATATTGATGCGAAAGTGAACCAGATGTGTGTGGCTCAGGGAACTAAAATGAGAGCATTCCAGGGTTCAACCATTGCCTTGATAGTATTGATTGCAGGATCATACAACACCCTTAAATGCTCGTATCTAGGGTTAGAAGTATTAAACTCATGAAACGATGCTCCAGAAATGTCAAAATATGCCCATCCGGTTCCAAAAAGAAATATGCATAAAAATATTAAAACTACATAAACAAAAAAAGCCGATTCCAACATATAAAGATGTCAGGCTCGTGGAAACAGAACGAGCACGATTTCATTATTTCATTTCGATCGAGACTCATGGAGGCAAATGAGAAGCAACAATTCGTGAAGATGGGAATTGGGGCATGCCATCTTGTACCTGATAGTGCTATAAGATTCCGGCTAACAAGCTCGCAAGTACAAGGTGATTGTAATGAAAGTATCCAACCTCAGAGAGCACTATAGTGTCTAAACTATAAGGCAAAGGATGATGCTGTTGCATACATGTGGCAAGTGCTACATGAAACTCGATTCCAGCACTTACCAAATCTTTTTCACCGATGGAGCATCCATTCCATACTTCGAGTACCTACAAAATCTTACTACAGGGGGAGCCACTACATCATACTGTGCATAGAAGGCATGAAAGCTTCAGTGTCTGACCTCTCTGCACTCCTGCCACCTTCATCACGCATATTGGTCTAGGTAGCAGTATCAGCGGCATACTTATTCGAACTTTCCAGTGGTATTCTGGGTAATATGCAAATTATGCGATGTTGGCGCCATGTGGCAAGATTTGGCAAGCGCTAGAATTTATTCCTCATTTGTCACTTGCCACGTCTGAGCGATGGCAGCCTTTCGCACCTTACCTTAGGCGTAATATCGCATTGAAGTAGGATACTTAATTTATAATCATCCTGCATATGTTTTTTTTTTATCGCGGATGTTCTGCTTTTGGCAGGCACACATCTCCAAGTACTGTTTTAATCAAGTTGTAAAAAAAATGACAAAATTGGGGGGAAAAGACAAAACCAACTTCGACTATGGGCGAAAACACGCAACTAGCACATTAATAACTCAAATATATATTTTTATGCAGCGAGATCAATAGATGCACGAATACGCAGTAAAAACTTATACAGGGTGGGCCAAAAATGTGCCCGATTTCAAAATGAAATTACAGGACAACCATACAAGATAGGATTGAATAATAAAATGCATTAAGCAGGCAAAAGGGAACTTTTTAAATTACTAAATAACTCTTAAACTGTAACTCTTAATGTAAGCTTAAGTGAGGCATTTTGAATTTGCAGCAGAAAAGCTGCAAATTCAAAATGAGTTTCCAGGATGTGAAGTGCCAACAGCTTAGGCAACACGACGAAGTCTGATCAAATGGAAGGAAAAAGGGTCAGAATTCATTAGGACTTTTTCTGTTCATCTTTATTTATTTTATGAATTACTTGTACACAAGTTGGTTGAAAACAAGTTCTTTTTTATTTACGAAAGAGGCTATTAAAAAATTGCAGGTCGATTAAAACTCGAATCTGGGTTGCAAAAAACTTGTCAACCGAATGATTAAGGTGACTTTAGCTTTAAAATATGCAGAAAAACCTCTTAATTCTTGGAAAACCCACTAAGAAAACTTGGAAACTAACTAGTAGAGAATTATAAACTTATTATGAAATAAGTTCATTGCTTTTTACTTGCTATTTATTGAGTTTTCTCAATGAGAGTATGGAGTCAAAAGGAATGTCAATATTCTTCATGTTTCATTCCTCTCTGTCTTTCAGGAGTTTTCAATGTTTATTTTAGAATATATATGGCCTTTTATTCAACGAACTGAGAAATGTAACCGATAAATTTTGCGAAATGAGTACTTTTCTTCAAATACAATGCATGATCTTATTTTGAAGAGATCTGAATAGCTTCCGTACCGCCAGTGGGGAATGTGTCGACCTCGTAGTCAAGATAGTGTGGAGGGACCTGGAGGGCTTCCTCTTCCCACATGTCCATTATGTCCCTGAAGCGGGGGTCCTCCCAAAGAGCCTGAAGGGTGTCATAATCCACTCGAGGGTAGCTGTTGTAGTAGGATCTCTTCCATCGACTCGGCCCCCTTCTACGAATGCCCAGAAAGTCATTATTATGGCAATCGATGTAACGCTTTGACTGGAAGAGGAACATGTGCTTACGTGTTTCTTGAGTAATTTAGAAGTACTTTTAATATATTACATCCCCTGAATTCACAAGGTAAAACATGCATTCGTAAGGATTAGTCTATTGCAGTGAAATAACTCAAGTAATTCAAACAATGAGGGGTATGTCGGGCTTGTCTGCCAGTCTTTCGTATGAGCTGGGGAATCCTCAGAACAGTGATAGAGTTTAGAAAGACGGACAAGTTATGGAGGAAATGCTTATTACAGGTCATGAGATTGACTCCCCGGAAATCCATTAGAAAGCCTGAGATTCATTTCGTTCTCCCTACGCTCCAGAGGAGGCAAGTAATCAAGAAATCACTGACCTATGTGTCATGATGAGACCATATTTCCTCTTCCTTGACATGAACCCGACAGCGGATTAGAAAAAAGGAAAATTACAACCGCACGAGTCGGCAACATTGTGTCTCATACTTGACCAAAAGAATGATTCAGTCTTGTTGGGATGCCCGAGCCTCCAGTCGGATCTCTTGACGTCAAAGGAAACGAGGCAAAGAAATAAATAAATATCTGAAATATATTTGTCAGTAATTTATTCAGTAGCGATTGTAGCTTGAAAATAGTTTGTGTAACGAGCTTTCAGAGAAGTCTAAATTGATACACTGCAGGGTCTGCATGCCACGTATCTAAGTCCTTCGAAAGTTTTCAATAACTAATCGTCATGATTTCTCCCCACAATGATAATAATAATAACCACTGTAGTACCTTCTTCAGAAAGACAAGAGAACTGAACTGTTGCGTGGAACTCACCCTCTCTTCCTTCTCATGACCTCCATAGCACCGTGAGCCTTCTTTCCTGGACTCCGTCGTCTTCTGTACAGCTCTTCGATCGCATTTGTCCACGGACCTGGAATTCCAAGGTAGGAAATCATCCGCTTGGAGCGAAATAAACCTCCTCAAACCCACGCTCTGGGCGCTCTCACCATATACCACAGACAAATTATATGTCTCTTTATTATAATGTTACTGGAAACAAAAGTACTTTCAGGACTGGACTAGCATAACTTTGTGTCGGGGAAGCCCCTACATAGGATCCACCAGAAAATATGTCTAATGTCGAGGCTTCCCCGACGGTGGACCGGGAAAGGTTAATAAGCTGTTGCGAAAGGGAAATGAGATTGCTCACGAGTCTGAAGGGGAAGGGCTATGGGTTCTTCGATGCCGGCCATGTCCTCGTCATAGGGTACATAGTTCGGGGTCAGTTTCTTCATCTTTTCCCCTTTCCCATCCGTTTCTGCAATTCGACAGAATCATCAGAGATCGAAAGAAGCAAGACTGAAATAACCATGTCGAGGAGACTTGGACATCCGTGACTTGTACAGGATGCAATAAAATTCAATTCGATTAAAATAAAAATATGGGCATAATAAAATCTAAGATACTTGTGCAGCTTTCATGAAGTGAAGGGTTCATTTTAAATGTGTGCGACAGGAACGAGCGTATATATCCTTTACTTGCAAATTCTAGAGATTTTGTCGTCGTCGTACACAGCATATCTTTGTAGACCTAAATGTCAGACACACTTCATATTACACGCACCAAAATGAAATGCGCCACTATGGAATATTCGTTCGCCGGAGGAAGAAGTATGATTGCAAGGATTCTTTCTCGAGGTTGAAATGTTTGGGAATGCCAAGGTACATATTTCGGTATCCGTGAACGAGCTCGTTCAGGACGAACAGTCAGAGGCATTGTTAAAATTTGCCATCATTTCACTCTGTCGTCGTTTTCTGCATCCGTTTATTCGTAAAATCTTAATTTCCTTAAAGAAATAGTGTAACTGATCCTATGATGCAGAAGGAAGCTTTTCTCCCTCGCCGTCCTCCTTTTGGTCCCTTTGCAAATTCCAAAGCAATGCTTCAAAGGCAAACTCGGTAAATAGAACTATCATTTTAGAGAGGCGAAGGCATAGGCACTCATCATTCCACCATAAAGAAGCCGCACAGAAAAATGACCTTTCATTTCTGTAGGATTGGGAAGATGATTACCTCTCTCTCCTCTTCTGGCATCGCTTTTTCCTGTTTCTTTTTAAAAATTTATTTAGTCTGGATTTTTCTTTTTTCAGAAGACCGAAAAGGCCTTTTTCTCGAGGCTTCTATTGGGGGAATCTCGCAGATAAGCGGGGAGAGAGAATATCATTTTCCGGGCTTAATTCCATATAGGTAACGGAACTGAGTGCTCAATCCCATCGTTTAACATTTACATCTTTCAGAAATTTACATTCATACGCTCAGGCATATACGAGAAGTGCCCAAATGTCCAATTTTAGTATGCCTTGTGCGCGAAAAATGCATTCATGCCCTTTTTTCTTGATCGGTTGGGACCAAACACCTAACACTTTCTCGTCTTGTTCTAACGCTGTGGTGTATTTTTTCTGCGCAAGGTAACTATCTCAAATTTGTCAATAGAAATATGGTTCACTGCTCTTGCTCGAATTGGGTTCGATTTTGCTAAAATCTAAAATCCTTGCATCTCTGAGCAGTCATATGCCAGTTGAAGAGAGTATGAAAAGAGTTTCTTCTTCATTAATGTTCATTTTCCACTTTCAAGATTCGTTATCCATGACGCAGGAGCATTGCCTGAAATCACATGAGCCAAGGACAGGCAAGAACTCGATATGGTGATTCTTCACTCTCTGCATTCTTACGATAATTGGCAAATGAAATGGGTCAAGTTGTCAGCAGACATGGTAGAAGTTGAAACCGTAGATTTGTGGGAAAAGCCGGTAGCCTATTTCAAGAATGAGACTAACCACGAATGCAAACGTGCACGTCTGCGATCTTTTAGATTCTGGAGATATTCCCCTTCTAAAACAAAAAGGGAAAAAAGGCAAGAGGCCGTCCACATTTCTCTACGAGAGCAGTTTCATTTGGGCCTCGAGAGAAGTCGTTGCTCCTATTTGTTGTCGTTTCTTAAAGTTCCCAGGAATTTTAAAAATTATCATATGGAGAAAATATATGGATGAATATGATGCTTAGGGGGTATTTTATAAATTCTTTGTAAGGAGGTCATTAAAATGTTTAGAGATGTGCTGCACATCACAATAAGAATGCGATAAGTGTCGTGGATTTTCTGCGCTCTGAAAATCTTTACAATCGTAATCGTAAGTTGACATGGTAGGAAAGCAAAACGATGGAATGCTCTTTAACTCATGAAGCCTCTTTGTAGGATTTGGAAGACTGGCAGTAAGAAAAATGCAGAAAATGGTAGTTGGTGGAGAGGAAAAAATAATTAATTAATTTGGACTTCATCAGATGAGGGAGACATTGTTCTGGAACTACGTTGAAGTTATCGAGGTTCTTGGAATGAAAATGTCTTTACCCACTTGCGTAGTGTGGCGAAAAAAAAGTTGCTCTTCACCGTCATAAAATCGCAAAGGTCTTTGCCCTTTATGGCAGACATCAATTACACTGTCAATACGACACTTGTCACGGCCTGGGTTCTTAACATTGACTCTAGGCCGACTACAAGCAAATGGCTATTATGAAAGAAAGGGCAAAGGTGGATGGGATAGCAAGCTGGGCATGAAATCGATGGACGGATCGACACGTAGACACGCACCTGATTGGCTTTCCTCATAGGCATCCAGAATGTCTCCATCGACCATTCCTGCATCGTGATCTTCTTCTTCGGTTGCTTCTTCTCCTTCTACACCTACACCCACACCTACACCTCCACCACTTCCTCCTCCTCCTTCTGCCTGATCCTCTCCGACCTCATTTTCTGCTGATTTCAGCATAAAATTGTTCCATTAAAAGAGCCTTCCCTTGCGCAATTTCCAGGGTGCATTTGAATAGAATAATTACCCTCACGGAATTCCATCACGTATTTTCTGAAAGGGTGGGGCTGCCTAAACCTTAATTGGTCTCCTCTAATGAACTTCCGGATGCATGACTGGACGCAGAACTTGAAGATATTGTATATTCCGTCTAAGACGATCCCACGCTTTCTTCTTTCACTCCTTTTTTTTTGACAGGTAAGCTCCTATTATTTCTTACTGGGAATGGATGAAAACAGGAATCAAGGGTCCTGTCGAATCCCTCTCCTTTATGGGATTTCCCTTGAGAGATTCCTCGAAAAAGAGACGGCAGCTGTCGCGTAAAATGCAATTTCTGAGGAAACATTTGAAAGCAATCTCGACTAGTATCGATCCACAACTTACTTCTTTTGCCTCACTTATGGGAAAAGACAAGCGACAGAGCTTTTCTCTCAGTGCCATCGCATATCTCAGGGGGGGAGAGGAGACTGTGATCCACTCTGCAGATTCGGACGTGGGCGTACAGCCTTTCGTGAGCATTTCATCCCATTATGTGAGGCCTCCACTCCCATGAATCTTTTATGTGTAAATTCGTCGGAAAGGACGCAAGACTTCGTGATACCCTTCCTCCCAACGGAAGTGGATATAAGAGCAGCTTTACAGCCTCTATCCCCTGGGAGTCAACATGGCTCAATCGATGGGGACTACTATGTGGACGGCCGGAAAATAACTCTCTCTCGGAGTTCCCCCCCCCCCCCCTCTCTTCCCTCCCAGGATTTTGAGATCGATAAGTCGGACGAGTAGAGGATGAAGAAAACGAGTCGTGCGAGAAGGCCTTACCTGCCGTGTAAATGTTCTCTTGGCGAGAAGAGAATATGGAGGAACATGTACTGATTTCGCGCACGATTGAGCACTTCATTTAATGCGATGTTTCCCCCCATAGCCGTGTGAGGAACTTTGAACGTCCATACTTGTAGAGTAGGATAACAGAAAACTTGCCTGTTTTAGGAGAAGATGGTACCTCACGCTTGATTCTCTTGTTTCTCTTCAAGGTCCTTGAGTCTGCCAGGAGACCCAGAGCCAAGAAAATCACCGCCAAAAACAGGAGTGGCTCCGCCTTCATCCTCCTGTTTATTTATCTGCACGGAAGGAAAAAAGGGAAGGGAAACAGGGCCACAAGCGCAAATGAGCGATGAAGAATCAGACTTTGTGCGCATTGGAATATTTTAGCATGCTGATACTAGCCTAAGTGGTGACGATTGTTGGAATAGAATTTTTAAAAATTAGTAGCAACTGAAAGATATCCCCAGTGTTAGCATGCATATATTTGACCATTGAGTTGATATGTCACAAATATGCCTTGTCATCAAAAGGGATGAATGAGAAAAAGGGACAGCTATTGTTGAGATGAACTTGTTACACATGTGACAATATGCTACCAAAAGCATGGACTAGATCAAAGATTAATGAGTAAGTGAGGCACAGGAAAGCTCGAAAGATTGAGGCACACTCGAGTTGCACGATTCCTTGGTACAGAGGCACAGAAGGAAAAGGGGAAGAGGAGAGAAGGGAGGAGGAGGTATGAAATAAGAAATAACCTAGCCCTAGGTCGAGCGCGGCCCAAACGAGGTCCACATTTGCTCATGCGCCGATCAATGCGAGTCCCTTCCCTCTCCCTTCCTGCGCGATTCTCCCCCATCACTTCATTTTTGCATGGGCCAATTTCCCCAATCTGCCCCCCTCCCCATCCACCCATGCATCTGCTCCCCTGCACTTCCCACCCTTCCATATCGATCTCTGCGCACATTACGCCAGATGCGGAGTCCGGGGTGGGGGGTCAATTTGTGAATTTCGCGATTGTGGGTTCCAACCTCGCTCTTCCCTCTTTTCCCTTTCTCTCTCTCAGCGTTACCGTTTCGTCTGGATGATTCTGCATCAAGGAATGCTCGATCATGGAGGAGGGTGTCAGAAACCCTAGGATTCCATTTTTCAGCTGCCAATTGGAGGAGTGAGGTTTCCCAGACGACCTTGAATTTATTTGTAGCCTAACGGTTTCCCATTTATCCCATGTTCTCCTCCCATCTCCTCACGAACGGCAAGAGAACGGACCGAAAATTGCATTCTGCGATGATTCTGAAACTCAAAGAGAATTTCACAATAACTATCACTTTTCCGTCTCTCTGACGTCAAGGAATGCTGTTATGGAACACGTTTGAGCCAATATTTATGAATCAGGGTCGAGAGGCCCTGGAAAATATCGACAATTCCTGAAAGGCAAGCAGGTAGTCACGAATTGTCGTGTGCGTTGCTTTCGCAATGGGAAGGACGTGACAGATGACACTGCAGAGCTTGGAATAGTCCCTCTTCGCTGAGTCAGCCGATGAAAATCCTTTTATTGTTATTATCCGGCTCCCTTTCGTATCGTGGGTCAACTTGCTTGCTTGCTCTTCGAATTGTAAGGTGCTGACATGCGTTTGACCTTGTCTGGGTCTTGTCCAACAAGTTAAAGTCGGCCTGATGTTCAAGGTCCTACACATATCTCGGCATGGCATGGTGCAGAACTTTCGCTTCGAGCTTGCGCCTTTACGAATTACACCATTGAGAAACCCTTTTGCAAGGAAAGGGTCCTCCATATCATTCATTATACACTGTACAAAGAATATTTGACGCCTCTGCAGGAGCAATCATGCACGACTCAAAGACCCAGATCCTTTCCTTTCTTTCCTTTTCACAAACGAACAAAACCCACTTAAAGAACTTAACGAACCCCTGCAAAGTCTGCTGTTGAACTAATGCATGAATATGACTCCATGTAATGCATAAAAATTACTCTATTCATCAGCAATTGAACTAACTATATGCAGATAAAAGTTGTTAAGGACAAGAATCTATTCGCATATGGCCAGAGGGCATGACTATGCATGCACATATGCATGCATGCATGTATAATTGGAACGAGTTCATCCACAGCTGTCGACGGATGGAACGGAATGATCGATGCTGTTCGGTCATTGAAAGGAAAGACCTTCCGTAATCGCCCTTGAAGTTGGAAATTAAACTCAAGGAAATCCCTCCCAGCGCGGTATAACAGGTGCGTCGTGTCCTCGCTACGTACGGCACGTATGCGTCGGCGCGCATCTTCAGTTCTCTTCACGTGCTCATCTCTGGCCTTCTCCCTTCTTTCATTCATTGTGCGTGCTGTTCCCATTCCCCGCCGCCGTGAGATCGTTTTTGTGCTCGCATCGATTTGCAGGATGTGAGAGGCCTCGGCATACCTACGGGGAGTCTGCTTTTTATTCCTGCTCATGTTGGCGCGAGCTTGCAATTGCGGTGAACATGACGGTTTCGTTGCTGAGGGCGATGGCACTCTTCGTCTTGGCTATCCTTCCGATCAGCATTCAGGTACTGGCTTCACGAACCATTGTTCCTAAAACGCAGAAAAGGTCTGCGTGTACCGTATGATATGTTCTTGATAGTGTATCCTCAGAATACGAGAATTAATTTTGCAGAGAATACATCGTTTTCTAACTGATCCGTGTTTATAGCAGTCTATATATTGTTCCCAACTTCTCATGAAGTTGAGTCAGAAGGCAAACACCCGTTGGAAGGTAGAAATCAAGATATTGTGCAAATATGTAGTTGAAAATGTTTTTTACTACATACTAGTAAGTGAATCAAAATGAGCTTCACTTACTAGTATGCACAAATTTAGAATGATTTCCAAATATGAGATGACGCAAAAAAAAATCCAAGTCCTGTTTGACGCCTTATGAAAATGACGGTGGAAATTCTAGGCTTGTAATTTTTTTTGCATCTCATTGGAAATTGCAAATTTCATTTCTGAAAGTTTCAAGTGTCTAGGTTGTCTGGATAGAAAGTGACAGTCATTCAAAGGGCAGACACTAAATGCATTTTGCACGCACGAGGTGGACACAGTCTCTGCATTGCTCATAAGATTTCTCTCTTTAGACACCAGAAAGTGTCTTTTTATGCTGTGTCCTCGTCATAGTATTCTTGATTGTGTAATGTCTTTAGGCCTCAGATGAGAAGATAAAGCCCGAATTCCATGTCCTTAGAACAGCGGTACTCAAACCAGGGGTCGCGACCCCCTTGACGCATGAAGGTTCAATGGGAGTGAAAGGAAGCTTGAGAACCACAGGTTTAGAGTATAGTGACTAGAGAGAGAAGTGAATTGTGAGAGTTTCCTATCAAATCGTGGACTCTGTCCCGTGGAGTCTCTTCTTTCTCCAGCACTACTTGAACGCAGTGAATTTTTCTTTGCAAAATACGTAATGTTGACACTGCACCGTCAAAAACATTGCGATATAAATACAGCCATAGGAAGCAGGCTCTTTGGCGACAAATGAGCAACGTCTGGCGAGCACCGTTGAAACCGCTGCCTCCCAACGCTTGGAAATGCGGAATTTTCTTATCGAAGTTTTTCAACGAATGTTGAATCTTCGAAATATCTTCACCAAAAAAACCTAGACTTAAAAACTTCATGAGACAAATTTAAGAGTGTTTTCTGTGGGTTACAAAATTAAAAAATAAAACATCTAGCATTTCTAAAGTAGATTTTATAAATCCTCAAACAGGACGCGTTTTTTTTCACCACCCGGTATAGAAGTACTCTTCGCTAGCAGCGATGGAAGCAGACGAGGCCGTTGATAGGCAATGATGTTGCATTGCGTTCAAACGGACAAGATTCGCTTACTTCATTGGAATACCCAAGTATCAACAGATATAGCGAGAAAACTTTACCGTTTTGAAAATTCCAAACATTTTAAAATTCCAAAAGCAGGAAGATTTTTTGGAAGCGGCAAAAAAAAATATATATATTTTTTTTTTACATAGCTCCTCAAAATCCTGCATCACGTCTTTGAATTCAGTTTCTGCGGAGTTGAAAAAGACTCTGGCAGTTTGGGATCGGAATAAACTTTGGATTTCCTCCTAAACCTAAAATTCGTGAAAGAGAAATAGATTTTAATTGGCTTGGAGTTTCGTTTCGGGGGATTTTGGCTGATTCCATTGTCTTCTGCAGCTTAGCTTTTGCGGCTTCTTTCACTTAAAACTCAATCTCACAATGAAAAAGCGAAAGCATAATTCACTGAAAGTGGTTTAAGGTCTACTTGAAAAATGAAGGTAGAAATTCAAGCAAATTATTTCATATATCAGTTTGAACCATTCGGTTAACTTTGAAAGGTTTAGCTCTCTCACTCCACTCCAGCGAAGGAAGCAGAACTTCCTCGAACAGAGGAAAGGACCTTCATGAGAGGACCATACCCTCCTGGAAGAAAATAACGATCCAAGTCGGCGGATTTCAAGTTGAGTTGAGGCTTTCAGTTACAGTTACAGCTTAGATTAAGATATAACTTAAATTAAATTTAAGTTCTATCTCCACTTTGTTTTGCAATAGCGTTTTAAAATTTAGGTTCAGTTTTAGTTTCAGCTGAATATTAGCGGGGTGAGTATCGTTCCAGATTTATTTCATGCTTCTAATTTAAAAAGGCATGACTCAAAATTATCTATACTTTTCTTATTTGATGGAGAGCTACCTAATTTTTTTTTCCTGGGAATCATCGCGGGATGTAGGAGAGTTCGTATGCGGCGGCACTGGCAAAGTGGCACCGTCAACTTAGAGAGGCTCATCGCCACCGCGCACTGGAGCGAAAGCAAGTGGAGGCGGAGGAAACACAACGAAACGAGGTCGCTCATAATGTGGAGTCTCATTTCCCTCCCCGCACGGGATTCCGCTGTCAGCACATGGTTCACCCCGGCTATTACGCTGACATCGAAGAACAATGCGAGGTACGCCTGTAGCTGAAACGTTATGCTCACTTCTTTCTATGTAAATGCTGCATGTTTTCTTTAGGGCTACAGAGACCAGATCCATTCAGATGGTTCTGAATGAATCCAAGAACGTTTCACATCAGGGACATTCTTCATTGATTTAGTAGTCCCATGGAACTTGCTTGCAGTATACAGTACATTGATTTAGAGTGGTGGTATAAGCGTTGGTTGTTTCACCGTGTTGTGTTGCTTGGAAGTTTAGAATCTAATTCAGAAAAGTTCCCGGAGAAGCCAAAAATGGCTAATTTTACGAAAAGATCGCATATCAGAACTGATAAGTAAAAAAACCAACGATATGAATCGATAAAACTGGAATGACCTAAGACCAAGGATAGGACCATTTAGGAGAGAAAGTCTCTCTCGTGACCATGGAATCCTTGATAAGGGCTCCATAATGGGCCAAATTATGGCGCTATAGGATGGGGAGTTGGAGGAATGATTGCATATTCAAATGAGCGTTTGCCCACCCACGATTCCAATTAAGAACTCTCCTGAGTTGCAGTGGCGGTGAATCGTGAAAGCTAACAGTCCTTATTCGGTGAAGTGCCTCTTCCCAAGGAGGCTTCTCAATAGTCTTTATTTTCAAGGACTAGTAGCTTCAAGTATCTGAGATTAAAACTTGCGCCACAAGAGAGACAAATAGGGAAATCGAAAATAATATATCTCGTAATGGCATGAAGTCTTAGAAGCCAGCTTTCCTCTATTTTCTTGAAAGAAACAGATATTATAAAGTATACTGTGTTCTTTGTTATTGATATGAGAACTAAAATACCTCGAAATTCGCAAATAGGATTTGATTTCTTTTCGCCTATTTTTTTTCTGAAGTCAAAACAGCTCAGAAATTTATTCAACTTTACTTTTCCTTTTGGAAGTTCTGTTTAAACGAAATTGGGATCTACTAATATAAAAGGTGAACAAGTAACTTGATGAATATGGAAGTGTGAACAGTAGTTATGAAAACACGTTCGGCCTGTGTTCTTGAATGTCGTTCGGTGGTAGTCTGCATCGGAAGTCGTGCATTCGTGTCATTAGGATACAAGGCATGTGATTGTATGATGGCAGATCGAATCGTCCACGTGTAAATTGCATGTCACGCTGCTTCCATCGTGAGTGTTCTCAATTCCATTTTCCAGGTGTTTCACGTGTGCACACCCTCGAACGGCCAAATCTCTTTCTACTGCCCGCAGCACACCCGGTTCAATCAGAAGTACTTGACCTGCGACTGGAGCGAAAACGTTCAATGCTCCCTCTCCCCTTACTACTACTACCACAATTCCCATTACTGGCACAGACAGTTTCGATGAGACCACGGACTAGGGAAAATTTTCTCCGCACACCGTGATCTGCGCCATGATTGGAAGGGAAATTATGCATGCCGATAACCTTGGGACCGCATCTATCATCTTCATTATGGCGCAACCACCTCGCTTGTCGTGACGTGACAAGGGCATTTTTTACTGTCTCCCTGTCCCCCTTGTTTTTAATAATAAAACAGAATAAGTCCAATACTGCTCCGTTCTTTCATTTCAGAAGATGCCTGTCTCCTACAGGGTCAAAGTCGAGTTGGAAATGTTTGATTCAACCGAGCAACATTCAACATAGTTTTTTCAAAGTCACGAAGTAGTCTGTTCTGCAAAGCATCTCCTACCATCGAAAGAGGTAAATTTCCATCGCACTCTTCGTTATCTTCCCCAGCTTTCAATCATCTGAAACCGATGTCCTGTCGACACCGAGTGCCTCATACACAAAAATGACTTCCGGCTACCTGCCACCGAAAAAAAGAGATCATGCTATCGAATGAAGTGTTTGAAGGGAAATGCTTTAACTTTGACTCGAACTCGGTTAGAGTTGAATAGGGAAGCTTTCTTCGAGTGATTTTCTCCTCCATGTGAAATGGCTTGCACAATTAATACTCGTCGTATCAAGTTCCTGGATGAAAGGTCGAGTTGTACAGCCGTGATGTAATGAAGTTAATCGGCTGTGACGACGTGATGAGATGGCATGAACGGCTGCGACAATTTAAGTCCTCCAGGAGTCACGAACAGGAGATCCAGATCTTTCTCAATCACGAAAAGTAAAGTTGTAATCGATACAGGCGAAGAAAAAGCACACATGAGAGAGCCATTTTGCGTTTGCCTGCTTTGACCCCCATCTACGGGGGGCTGCTATAGGGGTCATAGGTCTGTTGCAGAGTCAATTCATGACGTTGTCCATTGCATCATCAGTTGGGTGATGATTAGACTGTTCTGCCTGGTTGAATCGCAGATACAGTGCATAAATCTTTCTCAACCCTCCATGGATTGAAAGGATTTACTTTGCGCTCGGGGAGGTCAAGTTCATATGCACGATCTATATTCCCTCTGCGTCATGTCCTTTCTTTCGGATTTCAAAACCTCATTATTATTACGTAATCTTGACGAGTTCAGAAGTGGAAACTCAGGATATATATTTATTTACTGAGATGAAAAGAAAATTTTGAATAAAACTATAACATATTTATAGATGCATAGAAATACAAAATAATAAAGTTATGCAATTCATGCAATTATAATTTCATTTCATCTTTTCTAGTCCTTCGCATGACACGAAGCACTTAATATTCAAGCTGATGGGGATTTGACGTGTTCCTTCTGATGCACATCACGAATATCATCACGAAACCCCTTTCGATCGAAGAAGGACCATCTGTCATAGCGGTGGCGTAATTAATAGTTCGCAACAGACTTTACCGTGCTGTTATTTTTTGAGGTCACGGTCTCCTTGTGGCTTTACATCACATCTTCGTCTGGGTGGGCAGTGAAATTCATGAGCAACAAGACACGTCCATGGAAGGAAGAAAATCTGGTATAAATGAATGGATCAGTGCACAAATGATTAAGTGTTTTGAAAATCGGGAGAAAACATTCACGCATAACTGCGAGGTTGTCGAAATGGAGGTGATGTCACAGCGGCAGGAGCCGCACCCACTGATTGGACAACCTCACACACCTGCAATTGATGGAGATAATGGGGCTATTTCTAACAAATGCGAACCCCTGGCCACTGTCGAGGGTTAATCGTCGACGAAATGCGTTGCAGTGATGGGCCCTCATGCCCACTCGTCCACGATGTGCACCTTCTTCCTCTTCGTCTTCTTACCATCCGCATCTTTAGGCAAGTCAAACCAAAATGAACTTTTTCTTGAAGAAACGAGATCCATTTGCAAGCAGCTAAATGCAACGTTGATACGATTGACTCTCAGTACTTCTAAGGAGTAGCTCTTTCGGTGCTAATTCAGATTCAATAGGCCTACAGGTTTTGATTTTCAAAGGTTGAGAAAGACGGACGATTTAGTAAATCGACAAATAAATCTACTGCCGAGGAGACGATGCCAAGTGATCCTTGATTGAATGTCGTTTCCAGGAGCAGTCCCGAGAAGTCCCTTTCCCAGGCCATGGGACCGCTACAAAGATGTAAGTCTTTTTTTTAATTCTTCAGTTCGTATTTATTTCAGTCTTGCTAGTGTAACCATTGGATAACAGCTAAACTCTATGCATACGAATTGACTCCCAAGTATATGCAATCGATAATCCATTTGTAGTCAGTAGTCCATCCCTATAATAGAAAATCCAAGGTCCGCTTATGAATCCATCCCTTCCCCCCCCTTTCATCCTTTCATTTTGGTCCATAGGCGTACTTATCGGCCAGTGAGAACATCAAGTCCTACACATATCTGAACTATGATCCATATGTTGGGGCCTATAGCATCTACTATGACCCGACCTACGCTCTCTACGATCCACAGTCAACGTCAGAAGACCGTCGGAAGGAAATGGTGTTGTTCGTGAGACGGTATTATTTGTCTCAGTTGCCGCAGCTCATGCAGGATCTGCAACACCCTGACGTCGACAACCGTCGAAAATACTTCATCCCTCCAGAGAATTCCCAGAGTCATCACGATCTCTCCAAGCTGGCAAAATATCATAGAAAGTCAAAGGAGAAATTCCGATTTCATGAAAATGAACAGAAATCGAGGGCCGAACTGCGCCGGAAACGACCTGAAAATGTACGTCGAGGGACTCTGAGGCATAATGAACCCGTGGTAAAACCTGACAGGGAGCCCCAACATCTGGTAGAGTTGGAACGACAACGTGCTTCAAACGACGAAAAACAAAGGGGATTCGATCAGGAGCAGAGAAACTTCAACCCAGAACCAACGGAGAAGCCCAATAACGAACAGCCGAAGTTCGATGGGGAGCGTCGACCTTTCGATCGCACCCTCGACCAGGAAATCAGACATTTCGAGTTGAGACAGCCCAAGTTCGAGCCTGAACATAATGAATTTGATTTAAAAAGGGGTATTCCAACAATCACGGTTCACGGCGAACCGCGGGACAATTTCATCACGACCCCGAAACCGGATGAACGGCCTCTGGAAGGAAAGGATTTACCACCGGGATACCGAGATCATGTGAGGGATCCGCATAACTACGAATACCCGGAATACACGCAGCGCAGGAACCCTCAACACAGACACATCCTGGAATTGTGTAGTCAGGGATTCGTGTCACGTCACTGTGACCCATATTACTTGGGTTACTATGATTCTCCCTTTGGTCAAAGATCACCTGCTATCACAACTCCGACCCCATCCACGGTAATAACTCCACCCACCACTCCTCCTCCCCGGCCTCGTCCACACAGGAGAAAGCTGGTGAGGAAGGTGCGGATCTTGGAGGATACAGTGGAGGAGAATACGTTGGACGAGGATGACCTGATTCCGGGTAAGCCGGGGTCAGATTACCCGACATTCACAAAGGTTCCCAGGACTGGTTTCGAGTGCCACGGGAAACCCCCAGGGATGTATGCAGATCCCGATGCTGGATGTCAGGTGAGACTCGAAATTAATCAGATGCGAGAATACCTACACGTAATTCCTTGATTCAATATCGTAAATGTAGTCAGCTTCTAATAATATGCGTCAAAGCACAGACTTTAAGAATATGGCTTTTTTCATTATTCACTTTCCCTTATTTTAGTTGGTTATCAATCGACTTCAATAATTTTTAAATAGAAAAATTAATGTTCTTTTTCCGCGCTTCGTCTGCAAAAGCTGGAAGCACGGTTCCCCCATATTGTATTTATGGAATGTTGGATGTTCCGAAAATGCTAAGAATCTACGAAGAGAGGCGTGATTGAATTCGACACGATGGTTGACTTAATGAATGCAACAAAGGAAATAATTCGTCGAGCAAAAACATTTGGTTATGCTTTTCGTTTTGAAAGTATGAGAAGTTGCGCAATGAAAGTAGGGATAGATATATGTATAGACAGGATGCGGACAAATAAGCTATAGTTTATATAGACATTTTCAATGGTAAAACGACAAGAAAGTGTGGATGAAAGTCTGTGAGTACCGTGGAGGCTCGAGAGATAGAGTAGCTGGCAGGATCAACTCTGCTTCCCGATTGTTTCTGGACTCTTCATATGAGGGATTATTAAAATCTCCTTTTCCCTGGAAGACCAGCGAGGAAAGATATTATTTTCTTGCGTCATTTATTTCTAACTATTCTCGTCCTTCTGATTCTTCTTGCCTGACAGCATTTTCTTTGCAAACTATTATTTGTAATATTTGCTGAGTACCACTAACTTGAAGGATGTCTTTGAATGAGCTTCCTAAATAACTGTATATGGACGATGGCAGGAAGTCAGAGAGAAAGAATTCTTTCATTTCAATATTCCCTTAACCTCTTATTGTCGAGGGTCGTACGTGTTGGATATGTAGGAAATTTTCAGAAATAAGGGAAAAAAAAGTTGTTGCAGATTTCTCGAATTTGCATTTTCTGTGCTTGCTGTTGCTTAAGTGAATCAGGGTGAATGGTAAACGTAAGGAAATGAAAGTGGTGGCATGGCAATGACATAGCATATCGCTGAGTTCATGGGGTCCATGTGTAGGACTTTCAAACTTAAGGAAAGTAAAACGATGAAAACAACGCGAAATCATTTGTATTTTAGCTTACTTTTCTCTTAATGTCGAAGACATCCTCAAATCCGGGACCAAACACGTATTTCACCCAATTTTTTCATGACTTCTTCGCTACTATAATATGGAGAGATTTGATGGTGGCCCGGAGTGAATCTCGCTTGACAAGAAATCAAGAAACACGAGTGCAAAGGCATGCATGGCAAGAATGCCGATTACATTTTTATAGGCACACTGATTCTGAGTCATGGACGATATACGGTAGAGTACAAGGAGAAAATTTTGTTTTCCACATAGTAACGTCGGCTGCAAACGGGCCTTTTGTATTAAGTAATTAACGTCTTGAACATGGAAAATAACTATGCAATGAGTCCATTGTGATTTTTCAAGCAACGGGATTCAACATCACATGCCAAATTGAATTTGTAGATGTCAGGCAAAAAACATGGTCTCCACACTGTTTCTGGCGTCGGCTGTAGAACATCTATAGGCTTTCCCCCGCGGAGGAGAATGCCCGGTCTTTGCTAGATTCTTATTTAGCT